CGAGCCGACACTGCCGCTCGTGGACACCGTTTGCCCGGACCCCGCCGTGCCCCAAGACCTCGTACCAGGGTTGGTGTTGTTGTCGTTGTTCTTCGCCCCACCATCCTCTATCTGGTTGTGGCTAGAATTAGACCCAGTAGTCATCTTTTACCTAACAAAGTACCGCAAAAACCGCGACTTGAGGGTTCGAGAAAACATAAAAGTCAAGAGAAATTTTGGATTCTAAGGAAAACCCAGATGAGAACAGACCTTAAACCGACTTGGGCATCGGACATTAGAGGAGATTGACGCTTCGGCAATGGACGATCAGCACCAAGAACACCCCTTCGCTTAGTTCGTTACCTCTCCGTTAGTTCCTTTTTTTATACTCGTGAAGAACAATTTTCCTCCGGCAGAAGGGTTTAGGCTTTCGCCGGCGGAGAGAGAGGATGGATGGAGGGTTTGATCTAAGCGGAGAGACTCATGGTTGTCGGACTCGGGGTTTGAAAGTTTTTGCTTGAGATGATGATGCAAGAGGAAAACAGATGTCACAAGAGAGGACCAAAACTGACCTCCTTGGGAAAAGAGGGAAAAAATGTTATATTTACCACTCAAGTTTGTGAGTATATCTTAAATGAAATGTATTCTATACATACATATATATATATAATACAGACATGGAAAGTTCTAAGGAGAAGCTTAAGGTTCACGCAAGGCATACCGCTTTAAGATTTTTCCTCTTTTTTATTTTTCAAGTTGCCCCAACCAAAGCATTTGACTGTCATTGATTAAGAAAACGTCATGGAATGTCACAATTGATAGGTATATATATCTTTTAAACTAAACTAAAATATAAAACTTTTCTTAAATGAAAACAGAATTGAATCACCTGGAAACAAAACTTTTTTAAAAAAAATAAATATTTTTTAGGTTTAAAAAAACATTTTAAGCCGAAGAAAAACTTTGACATAAAACTAAATAAATATTTTTAAAAACAAAAAAAACTAAATATTAAAACAACATAACCTCTCTTTTCTACCATTCAAGATTCTACAATGCAACAGAGTGCATTCAAAGATACAAAATCTCTAAGAGGATTTGCCACTCACCCATCTGAGTTAGTCTATAAAAAAAAAAACACCACAATTAGATCAACAAATCCAATCTCGATTCAGCAAAAATATTTAATCTTCAAAGAGTTTATTAGAGATTCTATCAGAGGAACAACTGAGTGGTATCCTTACAAGTTACAAGCAATAAAACAATGGTTGACTTTGTATTCTCAATTCAAGGGACTAGGGGGGGGGGGAGTTTTTGGAGGTAATACTAGTCAAGATCATGGAGTTTGACTTTGTATTGCTCACCAGAAGACAAGATCTTGACACTGACCGAACCCTCTTCCCACTCTGTCTTCCCCACCAGCACAAGCCGAGCTGCATTTACACGAGCGGCCCTCTTGAACACCCTGAAAAAAGTACAACTCCCAAAACGTTACCCAAGTCCCTACCCTTTGGCATCACCTGGCGAAACTAAACAGTTTTCTAGGACAAAATGCTTTTCATGTGCCTATACTTCAATCGCTGCATTGCACAAACTAGACTGGTAAAGGCCTGTAAAGATGAAAAACATGCCATATAGCAAAGGTAACAGAGAGTCTAAGGGGTTTATTGTGATTGCCAAACTTGTAATAAATCTTCATTTCTGATGATCTTCAAATTTCTCTTTTACCAAAACACTATCTCAGACTTTGGTCCAGTAAGACTTTCAATATTGCATTGTCTAAAATGAAGCAAAGACTTCCATTTGGGACCATTCATCCATGTGTCTCAAGTTTCTCTATCAAAGTTATGGTCTAAGAGAGTTGAATGCATCATATTACGTTCTTCTCCATGGTCCAACTGAGAAAAAAGTCATGGAAATCAGGTTTCATAGTTAAGAGATGAGATATTGCATACCATTTGAGCGGTTTAATCTCTAATACCAAATCAACAGTGTGGCCTTTGTCTCTGAGTATGGTAGCAACAGTTGCAGCCGCTCCTTGAAGATCTTTGTCCAATGCACAAACAATATTCTCTACCTCTTGTTTGAGCTCTGGCAACAAACCCTTCTCCTTGATCAACTGGGTATGAGAAACAGGGTTTCCCAAGTAAGGCAAATGAAAGATGCATGAAGGAAACGAAAAAAGTTGAAGACTTTATGAGAAAAATAAATTCTGCTGGGCCAGAGATTAGTATTTTCTTTCCCAACATATGATGTTCAGTTAACAAGTATAGTTTGCTTACTTCAACGATGACAGCATCACCGAAGCCAAAACCACAGGCAGGAATATCATCACCTCCGAAAGTGGAGAGTAACCTATCGTAACGCCCACCACCACAAATAGCTCGCAGCTTCCCTCCTCGATCAAATCCCTGAAAATATAACATTTCTCAACAATGCAATCATGGTGCAACATGAAACCAATCACTTGTCTAGTTCATCAAAAATTGCATACCATTTGTAATCCATACATTGCCACCCTATTAGTTAGTTTCTTGCAGCTAAAACTAGCCAAAATGTTACTTATCAGATGTCTAAAACAAATGAATGGTCACATCTAGAGTTCATGTCCACATCGAAATTTTAAATTAAAAAATACATGTCTTTGGAAAAAATCATATCATAAACGCTAACCTCGAAGACAATACCAGTGTAATAGGCCAGACCGCGCACAACAGATGCATCAAACTGTATCCACTCAGAATAACCAAATTTTTCAGCCAGTGAGAACAATTGTTTTAGGTCTGCAATTGCTTCACCAGCTCCACCAAGTACATCTGCACAAGCAACTCAGAAAACCCATTATCAGCAATAAGAACTAAGAAGCTGTCAGGGAGATCATGAACATAAAAACATGAAAATGGATTAAAGAAACAATGAGAGTTATTACCTTCCAATTTCTCCAATGACTTTATGGAAAGGACTTCCAATAGCTGCTCAATAGCTTCTTCCGAGATCCCTGTGAGCCTGAGTTCCTTTTTTATCTCTTCAACGGGGATCTTTTCTATCTGTTCATCATGCAACAATAGAAAAAACGCCTGCTTTAAATACAAGGCAGAAGCCGGTGCCTTTACTAGGTTTACAAATAGATAAACCCAAGTACATGTAACGAAGATAAAGTTGCCAAATCAAATTACAAAGGAATATGGGTCACCAACCTTGTCAATAACGATGCAGACTTTTCCAAATAAATTTTCAGGTACCCCATAGCTTCTTAACATTTCTTGTAAAACCTGTATGAAAAGGAAAGATGAAACATGCAAACTGAACTACATCGAGATGTTGACAAAAGTATCCATAACTTCGGTCTCTGTTGCCAGCCAAAAGAAGACCAAAGTCAAGCATGCCCATTTAGACATAAGTACACGTTTTTACACTATCCAGAACTTAAAGTGCTAAACTCGTATCATGTAACCAAAAACACTTACACATGACAACGCACCTTGCGGCTTGAAACCTTAAACCCAACATCTGATGCAGTAATTCCAATCCGCTTGAAGAAAGTAACTATTGATGAGATTAGTTCTGCTTCAGCCTGAACAAATAGATTACAAACTATGAGCAAAAATGATGGCACCTACTGGCATCATTCAAATCATTAAGCCGTACGTAATGAAATGTAGGAGAAACCTCAAGAAATGCTAAGTAGCCAATCCCTGAAGGAGGCATTATGAAGCATAAATTTGGAAAAGAGTTTGGAAAAGAATTTAGAATAAGTAACCGCCTGCAAACTTTTTCCTCTCTTTTTTCTGGTCCAAACCACATAGAAACTCTAAAGGATTTGCAGATCAGAAAGCCATACCGCTACTTCAGAAACACCAATAATGTCCATATTCCACTGGTAATGCTCTCGTCGTCTTCCCCTTGTCATTCTCTCATACCGCCAGCACTGCCCAACAGCAAACCACTTCAGTGGAAGGGAAACCGATTTTCTGGACCAAAAAGAATATGGGAATCAAAATTCTCACATCCATCCCTGGATACAAAGATTACAAACATATATAAATAATAACCCGATGCAAAATATAGATCAGTCTGACAGAAAATTTTGGAAGCAAAATATTGGAAAACATTTATAGCCAGATATCTTCTGTATCGTCCACCACACTTCAACATTATAAGTGAGACAAACTTCCATTACCCTTTTTGTATCACAAGTCTCGCTAAAGAAGGGGTAAGCTCAGGCCTCAATGCTACACGCCGGTTTCCGCGATCTTCAAAACAATATAACTGCAGGACAACGTTGCTGGATTTCAGCTAAGCTTTCCCCACATTCGTACTACTTGACAGACCCATAACATACATGTGCCCAATCAATAGAATTGTAATTGTGAACAGAAGTAAACCCTTTGAATCACATCATTAAGGCTTTTACGGCATCTTACACAGCATGAGATGAGATCGGTTGAGATTCTATCATAAGAAGTTTATTACCAATTCAGACTTTGAGAAACACTTGCAGTTCTACCATGGAATCCAATCAAGCTGTATGTTTCTTTCATCCGTTGAGTATCCAAACAAATAGACCAATCAAGTTATGTTATTTTCCTAAACTCCTAGAAAAGACGCAAACCAAAGACCATTAAATCAGACGATAAAGATAGATACTGATAAAAAAAAATACTAACTTGGTCTCGAATCTCTTCCCCTGCTTTCCTAATGAACAATGCCTCCGACTCCAATACTGGAAAATCCACTTCTTCGAACCCAAACAACCGTGAAACCTTCAAGACAAAACACAGAAACGTTAGAACTTTTAAAACAGAACGAAAAAACCTAAACCTGGGTCTCCGCAACTTCATCGCACCCAAAGAACAAAACCCATGACGAATTACACCAAACAAGAAGCAGAAGAAATGCAAGAAACAGTTCTTTCATTGGAAAATTCACAAATTTTACGAGTATAAACGTAAGTAGATATTACCTCTTTGAAATGCTGGAAGAGCCAGTTACGGAGACGCATATCCTCAGGCGAGAAATCACGAGTTCCCTTGGGAGGATTCACATCAATCTTCTGAAAATCTTCCATCATCGGAGGAGCCGTCACCGAGCCAGACCTCCCTCCGCCGCCGCCGGAGTCTACATTCTCCGCCGCCGCCGCCGCACAGTAAAAGCGCCTAGGGTTAGAGAGCGGGAAAACGAAATCCCGAGGAGAAGAAGAAAATCGACCGAAGAAGATAGGCCTGAGGCACGAACTCAATCGCGGGCTCACCATGTGAATTGCCCGCATCCTTCCACTTCTTCTGTTTCTCTCGAGGCACGAATCTGAAGAGCCGAAGATAAAGGAGATATATAGCATGGAATTGAAAACCGGGCCGGTTATGTGTGGAATTTCAGACCGGATAAACCGGGGTTGAGAAAAAAGGAAATCTGATGAGCTGTACAAGAAAAAGAAAATCCCAATATCACAACGGATTTAGCTTGCAATAGTTATCTCCTTTTTTTTATGATTAAATTATTATATTATTTTAAGATTTAATTCAAAATGTAAATTTGGGAGATTTTATTTCACTAAACGAAGTAGTTATACACGGTTTCGAAAAAGGAAAATTGTGAACCTTGGAACCCAAGTTTCAATCTCCCGCCCCCCGTAGGAATCACAGTCAGTCTTGAAACACTCTCTCTCCCTGTAATTATAAATACCCCCTCTCCCCCTCCATCCCTTTCTCACATCCACGACTTTGCTCTCCCGTTACGAAGATGGACACACACACGCCCATCAGAGAAATCTGGAGACACAATTACGCACAAGAGATCATGCTGGTGATGGAGTGCTCGTCCTTTTGCCCTTTCATCGCCATTGACATGGAGTTTCCAGGTTGTCTCGTATACACGCCCGAGAACGCTCCCGATTCCGTACGCTACGCCGACATGAAGGTCACCGTCGACAATACCCAACCCCTTCAGTTAGGGCTCACCCTGTTCGATTCCCACTCCAGGATCTGGGGCTCGTGGCAAGTGAACTTCTCCGGTTTCAGAGAAACAGAGGATGCCAGTAACGCCGACTCTGTCGCTTTTCTCAGACGAAAGGGCCTAGATTTCGAGAAGATGAGAAACCATGGCGTCCCCATCGATTGCTTCTTCCATGGATTCCTTCACTCGCTGATATTTCAGAGAAATCTGACATGGGTCACCTTTCATGGAAACTTCGATATCGCGTATCTGGTGAAGATGTTAACTCGATCGCCATTGCCGGCAACTTCAAGGGAATTCGCGGAGATAGTGGGGAATTCGCTGGGGACAGTTTACGACGTGAAAACTATGGCAGGGAGGATCCACGGACTCGGTGACCGACTCGGACTTGAGAAAGTGGCGAGTCGACTCGGAGCCATCCGGGTAGGAAGTGCTCATCATGCTGGTTCAGACAGCCTTTTGACTGCTTGCTCGCTCATCCTCATGGCCCCACTGTGCAATAGTCTCTCCGAACTCGAGGGACTCGTATACGGAATCAGTCCTAGAATCGTGTCGAGACGTCCAGTTATTTTAGGATACATGATCGGTTAGTTCGATTTGGTTTAATTTGTTTCGGTTTGCGATTCCATTGTCTGTTTTTCGGTTTAGATCACTTATGGTTTCTTCATATCGGTTCACTTTTATTTCCTAGCTTTTGGTTTGGGTTGGTTCATGGTATGATTTGATTTCTAACTCGTTTAGATCAATTTCTGGTTTATATTGGGTTTGAATCCGGTTTTATGCCTTATCGTGTCTTCCAATATATTTTTATATTTAAGATTCGTATTCCATGAGTCCAAGATCAATTTTATATATATATATATATATATATATTGGTACGTCGAGTAGTTGGATCCGAAATATATTTACATAAAAAAATCAAAATTTTGGATAAAAACGCATAATTATTTTAAATTACATCTAAATAAACCATAATCAATTGCAAACTCCAAAAACACAACATCAATTAGTTACAAAAGTAATCGAAACACGATTCATACGTATTGAATTCTAATATAACTCGTCAAATATTTATAAAGATATGTCCAACCTTCTTTATACACCGGATGTAAGAATAAGAAATTGCTCTCTGACCCAATCGAGGGGTAGTTCCGTCAATTCATAACCAGGAAAAGTTGGGGACAAACCATGCGGCGTCGCTCTATTCCGTCGACCGTTCGTCCAACCAAGCGGCATGACACGTAATCAATCCCACACATCTGACTACATGCGTATATATGTTGTCGCTATATCATCACCATCATCATGAATAGAATTATGTCATACACTGACCCTCTATAATATAGAGTCTATATATACATCGCCTTCGCTCCTTTCCCTCTCCTCCATTGGCTTCAAACAAATTCTCTCACAATTCCAGCATATTCAAAAATCCAAAAAAAAAAAAAGAAGAAGGAAAAACCCTGAATCTCTACAACAACAACAATAATGGGTGAAGTCAGTCTCTCTCTCTCTCTCTCTGATTTTGCTGGGTAACTGATTAGGGCCTAATCTCAATCTGGTTTTGGGTATTGCAGAAGAAGGAAGAAGCAGCGACGAAGCCCGAGGGAGAGAAGAAGCCGGCCGAAGTCTCGCCGGATAAGAAGGAAGGCGGTGGCGGTGGCGGCGGAGGAGGAGCCGCCGTCGTGCTAAAGCTTGAATTGCACTGCGAAGGCTGCGGCAAGAAAATCAAACGCATCTTCAAGCACTACAAAGGTACATATTATACATATATATACGTATACAAACGCGTATACATCTTTTGCATTATTTCAATTGAATATCTCTCGGCAAAATTTGGCTCGTTTTAGATCAGATCCGTTTGGATTCGGTCGTTGCGATCGGAATCCGTTTGAAATTTTTGTTTAGCGGATTCACAACTCTCTGCGGGAAGGTGTACCGGATTACGAATGGACCCTGACTACACCTAACGAGAATTCTGGTTTCCGATTGGTCGGTGAAGGTGTTGATGATGTGAAGATAGACTATGGGGCCAACAGATTGACGGTGATCGGAGATGTTGATCCGGCGAAAATCAGAGACAGAGTGGCCGAGAAGACGAAGAGAAAAGTAGAACTCGTGTCCCCTGCGCCGAAGAAAGACGGCGGCGGAGGCGAGAAGAAGCCGGCCGACGAGAATTCCGGTGAGAAAAAAGAGGGGAAAAAGGAGGAAGACGAGAAGAAACCTCCTGCTCCACCAAAAGAGGTAACATCCCAACACTAACACCTCACTTCTTTGTCTTTTCTTTCTTTGGTCCGAAACAAAAAAAAAAAAGGTCGTCTTTTCCACGTCTCCCCCTTTCATTTCTTGTGCCAGAAGAAGTTGTTTCCATGTCTGTGCAACGAAATGATGAAACTTTTTGAAGATTCAGGCAGCGAAGAAAGAAGAAGAAGACTGTTCTATGGAATATATTGAATTTTTAGACGGGAATTTACACTCATTCAAAGCAGATTCAAAATAAAAATAAAAAATTTATTTGTTTAGAATTGCAGTCCTTCAAATCTGACCGACTCATGCATCATTTTCGATCGTGGTTTCTGATGTAATTATACATATAAATGATGCAGGCGACGGTGGTTTTCAAGACGAGGTTACATTGCGAAGGTTGCATACACAAGATCAGAAGGATAATATTAAAAATTAAAGGTAAGCGTTTTCATTGATCGGAAGCTAATTATGGAAGCAAATGAACCTTTTTATATTAATTAACATAATAACATCTAATTTGATTTAATTTAATTAAAGGGGTCGAATCGGTCTCCATCGACGGCGACAAGGAGCTCGTGACGGTGAAAGGAACAATGGACGTCAAGGAGCTCACTCCTTACCTCAACGAGAAGCTCAAGCGCACTGTCGAAATTGTCCCTCCTCCCAAAAACGCCGACACAAACGCAAACGAAAACGCTGAAAAGAAGGGCAAGGATTCAGCAGGGGAGAAGAAACCCAAGGAGGAGGGTTCCGGTGAGAAGAAAGAGAGTCCCGGCAACAGCGCCGGCGGCGGAGTAGACGACAAGAAGGACAAGGAGAGTTCCGGCGGCGGAGCAGGCGACAAGAAGGACAAGGAGAGTTCCGGCGGCGGAGCAGGCGACAAGAAGGACAAGGAGAGTTCCGGCGGTGGTGCGGCGGTTGAGGTGAAGAAGATGGAGTACCACGGGTACGCATACCCGACGCAGCCGATGTATTGGTATCCACCAGGAGGACACGGGCGGTGGTGCTGCGGTTGAGGTGAAGAAGATGGAGTACCACGGGTACGCATACCCGACGCAGCCGATGTATTGGTATCCACCAGGAGGACACGTGTACGGTCAGAATTACGCGCCACAGGTGTACGTACACGAACCGTATAACGCGAACCAAGGGTACGTACAGGGACCGTATAATACGAACCAAGGGTACGTGGGGGGAGGGTATGTGATGGACCCTTACGCACATCTACGAGCACCTCAGATGTTCAGTGACGAGAATCCAAATGGGTGTTCCATCGTGTGAAAAGTGAAAACATAAAAATTAGCGAGATATGTACTGTGATTGTGAATAGGTAAGAAAATATAGTGAAATACACGAACCATCTCGGACTTTGTTCACGAAATTACCTCGCATCTTCTAAACCGGCCGGTTTAGGTTGGTTTACTTTTTCGTTTATTATTTTTAGATAGTGTTATATGAAGCTTAGTTTATAGTTTATAATTTGGTTGTACACTTTTTGGTGTTTAATTGCGCGTTGTTTGTAAACGTTTGAGATATCATAATTGAAATATCCCTTTTTATGAGTGTATATATATGTATGTGTATCTATATCTAGTATAAATATTTACTTATTCGTATAAAGCAAATTATTTATCAAAATATTGAAAGTTTTTTCTATTAAAATTAATTACAAAAATAATACCGAAACGCATACTAATTTGAGGGCCATAATAACTTTTCGTTGCCATAAAGGGTAACATTATATGGGTAAGCATATAACTGTTAACCACCACCGACTTACATGACATGTATGTGTATGCATACATATGTGTAAATATCGTGTGTTGAGTTGGTGAAAGGCCAATTAAGATGACATAGAAAGGGTTACGTTACTCTTTTTAAAAAGAGTAATGTCGTGAAATTAATTATACTGAAAATGCTTTATAATTATAGAATGATTCTTTTATAGATTATAAATGTTTATTTCGTTATCAGAAATTTTGTCCTATTTACTATTAAAAAAATTTGGCCCTCTAAGCCTTTCATGTACGAATTTCCAAGACGCCTGACCATTCCTCGTTACATATATATATATACAAAGGTCAAAGGGCATCATATAACAATAATAAAATAATAATAACCAGTCCTATTTATTATATATCATTAATGCAAATAGAATGGTTTAATTAGTTCATTTTTTTTATGAAAAAGGGAAATAAATGATTGAACGAAATACAAGTACGTCTTCGCATATCGCATATCGTATTAATGATATTATTATTGGACCGACCTATACTTGTATAATGTTACTTGTGAGTTCGAAATGCTCCATGTTGCATTAAATAAAAACCACAGCCAATGATCATCGAATATATATAAGTTATTAGGGCATGCAATTTCATGCAATCATCAACTTTGTCCATTTAGCTATCTAATTATTTTAATTAGAAGTTGCTGTGTCATTTTCTTTCCTAATGCATCATCATCAACTTTTGTTTTTATTCTCTCTCGATTCAGATTCAATTTTCAATTCGATTATTGACATAGATTTTGGAAATTCGATCGTCTCGTCTGAACTTCAAATATAAAAAACGTACTATATGTAATTTTAAATTAGGCATAGATTTTGGAAAATCCGAATATATATATATATATATTATGCGCATTTGCGTTATAGTGTCAAAATTTATGATGTTATGCATTAGTAAATTTATATTCATATATGTAAATTAAAGCGCGTTGTATTCCGTCTAAAACCCTAATCGAGCAGTCAATAATTGATATTTAACATGTTGTGCCACTCGACACATTATTGTAATATGCCATTTGCTGCATATTATAATATGCACCCTTTTATAATATATATATATATATATATATACACACATATAATATTGTATCGATAGATGTAAAATAAGAGGATCGTCAGCACATATTAATTATGATCATTATATTAAATTTGGTGGCATGATTTTGGAGCAATGAGGTGAGAGACCATGAACTCAAGCTTCATGTTTCTGACTCAGCTTAGGATGCGACTTCGATGGCGGCATTTGATTTTTGTTCTGGTCGGTTTAGTATATGATTTTTTTTATATATAATTACATATATGGCTAATTGATGTAAAATGTGTAACATTAAATTTGTTTAAATGTCTTTTATGGTGAATATCCGATTATTTCGCATATTACATATTAAAAGTTGGTATATTTAAATAGAAGGAATGGGATTATATCTGATGAAAAAGGTTAACCAGATGTTGGAATTGGAATCGACTTGGGAATAATTCAAATGTATGCATTTACAAAATTATCATTCAATTTAATATATTTACGAAATTTATCAATCTTTTATACCATTTGAGAACATGCATGGCATATCATGTATGATGATGCCTCGTGTTAATCATGATGGAGAGACGATGATGATGCCGTATTACATACACTAATACATTTATATATATATATATATATATATATATATAAAATATAAATGGTCATAAATTAGTTGGCATGTTAACAAAGGGAGCTAATGTGGGTCAGGGACACGTCATCCATACGTGGCACTGACTTGAGATTTTAATGTACATTAGATATTATTCCATGGCTGGCTACAGTCCATGCTGTATATAAAATAATGCTGGAAATTGATATGATTTGGAACAAAGGCTACATTCAAAATAAATATAAAGCATGATAAGAGAAATTAACTCTATCACAAATAATATTCACCCAATCAAATTTTTTAATATTTAATTAGTGCCGAATTTGATAAAACATATATTTTTTTTAATCGGAATTTTTCGTAGTTTTAATTGGTCCGTGCAGGCACACGTGCATCCAACATTATATATATGTCGCTGGGTGTGTGCTTCGAGAGTCATATCCATTAATGAGAAATTCATCATAGACCTTTGAATATCACATAAACTAATATAGACTTTTTCATGCGAGGAAAGCACTAACTAAGGCAATATATATATATATATATATATATTTGAATTTATTTGACCGTTTGTTTCATTATCTATAGACTAGTCAAAGACATTTTAAGATTAAAACTGAAATGAATTTAAATCTAATATAAAGAATAATAAAAGAAATCGAAAGAACAAAATTCGAGAGAAAATGCATATTTTAATAAAAATTAAAAATGTGTAGACTTGTTCTTCTTAAAATAAATATTCGAATTAAAAATAACCATACCAGACATCTCATATATGTAGTCTGAACATCAATTCAAATTAGATGAAGATGATATCATGTAGTAATCATTCGAATTAATATTATTCTTTTAAACATTTAAACCAAGTGAACGGACGCAGGCAGCACACCCAAAAAAAAAAAAAAGGGAACCCAATTAATAATTATATTAAACCGGGCTATGGGCTTGATTCCTGATTAATGGGCTATTTGGGTTCGTTCCTTGTGAAGATTTTGAGAGCTATCTTAGACTCCCCAATATTATTAAAATTTTGAAAACGACCCCATAGTTACATTAATGATCATTCTCATCCAATATGCAACCAAATGGACTTGTACAAAGAATGATGGTTCCAAACCGATGTTGTGTTTGAGTTTGTTCGGATCCGAGGGGGCGAGACTACGAGGAGGCGAGATCTATGAGGTCGGGAAAAAGGCGAGGTCGTATGAAATCGTGGGGCCGTATTAAAATAGAACTAGGGTTTCGTTTTCGGGTAAAGAGGGAATGAGGGGTTCACCTCGCTTGCCTCGCATCCGAAACCGACGTTTTACGCCAAAGACATCATATATTTTTCTCACTTCTCGTGGCCTCACTCTCTCTTTTCTCAAGTCCTCGCGTCGACCTTGCCCGAGTAGGTCGGTATCCCCTGCGGATACCCGAGTCCTCATCGCACCCCATAGTATCTGAGCTTCGTGTACCTACCTCATGATGTTGAGACTGGGTGGATCATTCGAACCCGAGAGGGTGAGGCCGAGAAAACTCAGATACCCGACCGGTGCCCACTCACCCTAGTTACTCAGTTGACACACTATTTCACCAAACGGTTTAGATAGAACCGGATTTGATTTCTTGTGGGCATTAGTCAGAAAACAAAAACATCAGAGAACTATTCATGCAATGGGAATCCAAATGGCAACGATTCCGAAACTCCAAACAATCGGATTCCTGAGTTTCAGGAAGACTCCTCTAGCACAGGTACATCAAGAATCTTTCATAGGCCTTACCGTATCATCAAAATTTCAGCTTCATCTCAATCTCCGGTGGGAACAGTTGACCACGGTGATTGAAGATCATGAAATCCAAGTTGTCCGAGAGAGAAACCACCCTGTAAACAATTGTCATAAAACATTTTTCACGTCATTAATCAAATGAAAGCAGTCGAACACACAAGGACCCAAGGGGCTAAGAGAGATAAAAACTGGTCCTAGTCCTATAGTAAAAGTATCTGCCGCCGAAACTAGCAGCGGGTTTACGAAGCTAAGACAAGAGCAAAACCTGTCCGGCAAGCATTGGGGCTTTGTCTGGTTAGAAGCTTACCTTAACAGTGACCTATTCTTTATATGTAACGAGTCAAACACCGTCTCAGTGAAGTTCTTTTCTTTGACTCGTATAAATCCATCACAACTTTCTCCCCATTTTACAACTTCGTAACCTTCTTTAAAACCAGTCAGAAAGCCAATAAAGGGAACTTTC